ACACGTCTGAAGACGAGCTGGGGAACCAGTCTCGAAAATTTACGAAATAAAGTTTGTTAATTTTCCCAAAGGACTCATTCTTCTTCGAAATATATATATATATATATATTGCCAATTAAAGCGAAAATGCGCGTCTTCGAGGATAAATGAGAAGAAGAGGCGATCTCGGGAACCATAGTTATATTGCCCTGACGTTTCAAAAGCAAACAAGCTTCCATCGTCGGAGGTGGGTTCTGTACGGCGCCTCACAGTATTTATGGGTGCTGAGCATGCGGGAGTGTTGTCGTTCCTACTGCTATTCGTGCAGGATCTGCTGCGGGGGGAGCTAATTGCTGTCGTGCTGGTCGGTCCCATCCTGCGTCTCCTCTTCGGGTGGGCTGTGTCGGGATGGCAACGATCATTGACCTCGTCTGCATTGCCCGCATTTGTTGTGCCTGACCCGCGTTTCTCGTAATTGTCGCCCGTTTGCCTCTGCCCGTGTGCACCTCGGTGGCTGCTGGCCCGTTGCCTGTTTCTCCTTTATCGGCCTGCTGGCCCCCGTCATCGGTGTTTGGGCGCGAACTGTGTTCACCTGGGCTTGTGATGCTGACTTCCTGCCTTTGACTCCGTTGGTTGAACCGCACTCGTAGGGCCTGGTAGGCAGCCGGGAGAATCGTGCAGCGGTTGATGGAGGTTGGTACGGTGTGCCAGGCTTCGAGCGTTTCCCTAGCTGTCTGGTCGGTACCTCGGCCTAGGATTTCGGCTTTCTGGAAGGCGAAAGTGTGCTGCTGAAATAGGTCTTGAGGCAAAAATGGAGCAGCTGGATAAGGTGTCCTCGTTTAAGCTTATTGGTCTCGTTGTCATATTGACTCTCGAGTAGATCGCCGACAGTTTCAATTGATACACTCTGAGGAATTGAGGTGAAGAGTGAGGTAACATCAAATGATACCATGACTTCGTCTGCATTAAGGTGTAGACCCTGGAGTCTTTCCAAGAAATGTACGGCTGAGCGGACCGTTGTATCGGAGCCTGATGTGAGACAGTTCAGACGTCGGAACAGCCATTTTGCCAGGTTGAATGTAGGCGTTCCGCGCAAAGATACGATAGGTCGAAGTGGAGCACCAGGTTTGTGCACTTTCGGCAGCCCATAGAATCTCGCCATAGCCGAATCTGTTGGTTTAATGGCCAGTCGTTCTGCTTTTGAGATGGCACCGTTGCTCTAGGTTTGTGCACTTTCGGCAGCCCATAGAATCTCGCCATAGCCGAATCTGTTGGTTTAATGGCCAGTCGTTCTGCTTTTGAGATGGCACCGTTGCTCTGTAACCTAGCGAGCGTCGTGTTGATTTGTGCCACCAGCTTCTTCATCGGATCTCCGTCGCACCTCAGAGTGTAGCAATTGAAACTGTCGGCGATCTACTCGAGAGTCAATATGACAACGAGACCAATAAGCTTAAACGAGGACACCTTATCCAGCTGCTCCATTTTTGCCTCAAGACCTATTTCACCTTTGAAGGAACGGTCTATGAACAAATCAAAGGAACTCTAATGGGTTCGCCGCTGTCTGGTTTCATTGCTGAGGCGGTCCTTCAAAAGTTGGAGACGCTGGTGTTCGCAACCCACAGACCAATATTTTGGGCACGCCATGTGGACGATACTTTCGTCATCCTCAAGCGGGAGATGGTCTCCGAATTTCACGCGATTCTGAACTCTGTTTTTCCGGACATCCAGTTCACAATGGAGGCAGAAGTCAACAACCAGCTAGCGTTCCTAGACGTCCTGGTCCACCGCAAAACTAACGGAAGCCTAAGAACGACGGTTTACCGAAAGGCCACCAACACACGTCAGGTCCTTAGTTACTACAGTAACCACCCGTCGTGCCATAAACGTAGCTGTGTGCGGACTCTTTACAAGAGGGCGGAAACTCACTGCAGCGAGGCAGCCGACAAAGTAGCCGAACTCCATTATCTTCGGCAGATGTTCATCTCCAACGGTTACCCTCGTAGTTTCATCGAACGCAGCAGACAACCAAAGAAGGCTATAAGGGCAACGAGAGAACAACCAACAGTGTGGCGGGCGCTACCCTATATTGAGAATGTATCGGAAGCAGTCGCTCGTCTCTTACAACCACTGGGGATCGGCGTCGCCCACAGACCTGAAGCGACAATAAGACGTCTCGTCATGAGACCCAAGGCCCCTCTGTCACGAGGCGAGACAGCGAATGTCGTCTACCGTGTCCA